CATGAAAGCCTGCAACTCCCTCGTGCTATTAAATGATTCCTGTGGAGCTCCGAGAAACCATTCCTCTGCCTCTCAAATAAATGGCCTGATCCCACCCACAAAGTTCTCTGTGCTCTCCAAATCCTTTGGCTTCATAGCATTCTCCAATCCCAAGCTTGATGATTTTCATGTTGGATTTTATCTCTTCAGGCAGCCAGATGCTGAACCACTGAATCATTTGGAGAAGATTTGGTGTAGCTCCTTGCACTATAAGGCCTCGTGTGCTGGATTTGGCTGTACTATAAGCTATGCTTTAAAAATCTTTTTTGTGCTAAGAGTTATACTAATGATTCTTCCAAAATGCAAATGTCCAAAGGGATTTTTCTCACATAATGATAAACAAATAAAGAGCTGTGATAGGTGGGAGTAAGTCGATGGGGGGCAGTTAGGATAGCTGAAGCTGTGACCTTGATTATAGCTTAATTTTGAACTCTTATTTCTTCTTACCTCTGCGTTGCCTTACCATTTGTTTAGTCAGTGATGGAAAATGCAAATGTTCTCTTGGTTGACAATTTGCTGCGCAGGTACTGTGTGCTGTGTTCAGAGGACTGTCCCTAGGCAAAAAGGAGGAAATCTGTGTACTGTATTTACCTTTCCTGGCAGGGAGAGTGTGTACCTTCCCCAAAAGGTGGCAGCTACGGGGCCCTCTGGGCTACGGATGGAGGGAGCAGATGGGGGAAAGATAGAGAGCAGCAGGCCTGCAGTGGGAGCGGAGGTGTTCTCACCTGTTCCCAGGTTTCTGGGAAGAACAGGGAGCAGATCCTGCAATGAGTCTTCAGGGCTACAAAAAGCAGGAGAGTTTGCTCTGAGGAAGGACTTCGCGTTGCTGAGTTGAGAGAAGGCTGGAGGGGAAAGCCCTACTCTGTAAGGAGCAGCAGTGAAATTCTTTCTCATCTCTTTTTGCTTTCACCCAACTTTTTTACTCTTCCACTCAACTGAGCTGAGTTTCCTGTCTTTCAGAATGCACCTGATTTGTAGTTTATGCTCTAATAAAACACTCTGACATACCGAAAGCCCTTTCTGTAGGCTCACCTCCAAATTAAAGGTGTGCATCAAACCTCTGGCTTGCTGAGTCCCATCACATCACCTTGCAGTGACTGTAGGCACTGTTGCTTTCCTGCTTGTCATTCTGGCCCAGCCTCAGGATTTTGCTCTGGGTGTTCACACCTGGGCTGTGACTAAGTTTTCAAAACCTTTTAATGTTGTCTCTCATCCAGCCAGTTAAACCTTTCATACAAGCTGTTACTACCTTCTGTTTCTGTTAGGACGATATCCTTGTTGATACTCGTGATCTTACCTTCCTGAAAGCTGGTCAGAAGACTTTTACTGTCAGAGTTTATCACTTTCAGGCTACTCTATTTTTTTTTTTAATCTGTTTTGGCTCCTTCTTGTCTTTTACAAAACACATAATCCTTGCAAATTAAGGCTTAAATCTTATCAGGAGAACCTTCATCTTTGGTGGTGCAACCAAGAGACTGACTCCCCATCTGATTTGCCTATGATATCAGACTTGACTACTGACTCATTAAATTTTCAGTCAGATAAATGTGCTGTCCCAAGCTTTCCCATCATACAAAGCCATCTCGCTGTCTTTCTCGGTATCAATCACCAGTGCAGTATTGGAACTCTTAATTTAGGACAAGCTTGAGCTCACATGTTTAACATATCAGATGCATGATGTACCGTATCAATCACCAGTGCAGTATTGGAACTCTTTAATTTAGGACAAGCTTGAGCTCCCATGTTTAACATATCAGATGTACTTAAGTGTGGTAAGATGGTCCCTTTTAGAACAAAATCTGATAATCAGAGACAAAAAGGTTTAAAAGGTGTGAGGAGGAAACCACCTTTCCTCTTACATGCGTTGATGTCCTGATCAGCAAAGGCTCTCCTCTCTGCTAACCATCCTACAAGCTGTGAGGGGAGCAGGTGGGAAAGTGGAACCTGGGAGTGATTGGATACAGATTGTCCATGAGTGGAAATGCCCCTGGAAAGAGTCTCTGTAGAAACAGCTGTGGAGTGACTGTTTTGATCCAGGAGCAGAGAGGGATTTGTTTCTGTTGAGAACCAAACTTGATCTGTTGCGCTGTTGGGTCAACACTTGACCGTTCATTGTTCTTGCTTTATAATTTCCACTGTATATTAGAAACAAGAGGATGGCTTAGTGTGTGTAGTGTACACACCTCTGCAAAGGGATAGAGAGAATAAACATCAATCTCAAACCCCTAAAAAAGATTACTTTTTTTGTATATTAGGTATCTGTGGTAGATCAGATTGTTTCCCTGCAGAGGAAGTCTTTGCCATTTTTTTGAAGCTATCTCACTATGGCCAGGACTTATCACCAGGGCTTGGGAGCTGTGTGCCTGCTTTAGACAGCTGCATGGAAAACATGCAGAGCTGGTAGTAAAATGTTGAGTAACTATTTTTCCTAACCTCTTTTCTACTTATTCACACAGCCATCCTTGTGTTTTGAGGCCATTATTTAATCCAGATAATTACGTGTGACTATTGTCCTATTTGTTTGGGATTTTTTTCAGTTTGGGGTTTTTCTTTTTTGCAGATTAATATATTTGTGTAGCTTTGATGCTGGAAATATGGGAGACTCAGATTTCTGGAGAACGTGGCCCTCTGGGCTGCTTTCAGATCATGCCATTTGTTCCACTGGCATCAACATACAGGCAAATGGGTACTTACAGAATTAGAACATGGTGATGAATTTACCATTTTCATTAAAACTGTTTAAAAGTTGTGCTGAAGCTGGAAAAAATGTTTAAGTCTAATTTAATTTGAAAGTATGCAGTCTAATTAATACTCTACATCCATTAACATTCAAAAATGAAAGTATCTGCAGAACCACTATTCCCTGGAGTAATTTGTCACCAGAAATACAACGTTTGCCTTTGACCTGGAGTAGCTTTTGGGTAGTGTGCTATGAGTGAAGGAACCCACGTGAAGGATTAATCCAGGAGAGTAGGCTTGAAGTTCTTTGTGTTGCTATGTCACCATTCTACAACCACTAGTAGTTGTCTCAGGTGCTGCTGTGACAGCAGATGCCTTCTTTGCTAAGTGACAGGAACTCCCATTGATTTTAAACGACTGACTAGAGCATGGTGGTAGTTGTGCGTGCCCACGAGTGCTTCCCGGATTAGAAAACATTCACAGAATGTGTCACCCTGTTTTTTTTATTTTAAAAAGATGCATTTTCTGTTTACAGGGAATATTGATCTCTATACTCTGAAGTGAACTCTCTTTTCAAACAGTGAATAAGTGTAACTGTTTGAAAAGAAGCAGCAAAGACGAGATGCGTAGCAGATGCGACACCATGTACTTTGTTCCCCTACATGTTTCCTTCCTCCTTCTATTCCTGTTTCTCTAGCGTAGCCTTTTGCATTGTTTGCTTCAATCTTGCCAGCACTTACTATAAGGTGTGGCATCTCTGCTGGAGCTGGTTTTGCTATAAACCCTGTTTAATGCAGTAAGTGAGGATTTGGGTCATTGGATTGTCTGCAAAGTGACAGCATATTCCAGGGGTACAAACATGCCAGTTGAATTTTGTTGCTCTCTGTACAGTTTTTGTGCAACAGAATCCTAAGGCACAATAACAGGTCTCTTAATTATTCAATGAAAATTGGTACTAATAAACAAAACACTTTATTTTTTCAGGGCTTCTTGTTCTTCTGTGCTCCCATAGCCTTAATAAAACCAGGGTTAAATAACTGCTTGGCTGGACAAAGGAGCTATGATTTTTCTTCCGCTTAATTTGTTTGAGTTCAAAAGGATGATTTGACTTCTGATCATGTGAAAAGCATTTCATAGCATGCTGGAAAGCTGTCTGGTTTTGTATCTAATGGACTTGACAGCATGGTTGGCAACAGACGGATAATAGAAAGCTAATGAATAACGAAAAGCTGAGTGATTGAAATAGTAGAGCTGCAGGGAGAGAAAAGGCAAAGCTGGGAAGGAAAATGGGAAAAACAAATAGCACAGAAGTAAGGAATAACCAGTGTTTTGATAGTATCGGGGTGTGTCTTCACATCAGAATTAACCCCAGTCATAATTTCAGCATTCTCCATCTGCCAACTCGCAAGAGCTCTTTAATTCATGCACCGTGACGCATTTTGTACAAAGTCGCTCAGCTTGCCTTGAGGAAGGAGGGATATGTTGGAATTAAAATATTTTTTCAACTGCTAAAACGATGCCTACGCTGCAGTAACCTCCTCGATTCCCACAAATTATCTGCTGCATTCCCAAATTCCTAACGGAGCAGGTGTACATAGTATCTCACACTCTACTGCAATAAACAGAGCAGAGCAACAGCACTGGAAGCTATCGGGGTCCCGAGAGACCCCCATACAACACTTGGTTTGTATTTACACTTCAGAGAAGACATCCCTATTTTGATAACAGGGATAACTCCATTTTCATGGCTCTCACTCTTCAGAGCTCCAGCGGGGAGGAAGAGCCCGTATTCATTGCTAACCAGTGTCTCCAGATGGGATATGATCTCTGCAGCAACTCCACTTTAAGATAAAGATTCCTCTGCAAATGGAACGAGGGGGGAAGATGTATCTCCCAGTGTCAGAATTGGGAAATCTCTCTCCTGATGTTAAGAGAATGGCTCTCTAGCAGTTTGAAGGCTGTGATGTTTGTGTCTGGGTGCATGCATTAACGTGGAGGAAGCCAGCTACTATTAATTTCCTCGCACGCTGCTCGTTGCGGCTGAGCTTGGTGGTGTGCGCATGCTTTTATGCTTATTTTCATGGTAAGAATTAGGGAGTAGGAGTTGAGCTAGCACTGTGTTCCCTGCTATACATACTCCTTGTGCATCTTTTTTTGCAGAGCCAAATGGAAAAAGATCAGTTCTTTTTATTATTTTCTCGTTCTGATGTACTACTTTGAGCTTTAACACTGCTGAAGTATGAATCATACTCTAAACACTGTCCTTTCTTTCTCCTTTGCAGAATCTGTACCAAAACAGGTTCCTGGGCCTGGCAGCTATGGCGTCTCCATCTAGGAACTCTCAAAGTCGGCGCCGATGCAAAGAGCCTCTCAGATACAGCTATAACCCTGACCAGTTCCATAACATGGACATCAGGAACAGTTCCCATGAGACTGTCACCATTCCTAGGTCTACCAGTGACACGGACCTTGTCACTTCAGACAGCCGGTCTACGCTGATGGTCAGCAGCTCCTACTACTCCATTGGGCATTCACAGGACCTAGTGATATACTGGGATATCAAGGAGGAAGTGGATGCAGGGGACTGGATTGGCATGTATCTCATTGGTAAGTCCTCCTTACTCCTTCCCCTGTGAGTTTCTTGCTGCTTTTTTAGTTTGGAGCATTAGGGTGAGACGAGCTAATGGTAATAATGAGCTGATACAGCTCTATTGAGTGTAGTCTTTAAGTGGGTTTATATATTACAAGATTTTTTTTCTGTTCCTGAATTGCTGAATACAATCTTGGTGCTCGCTGTTTCTTCAGCAGAGATATGCAAAGGCTTTCTGTTGATGGTTTCTTCAATTTCAAGATCTTTTAATTTTAAAGCCATTTGGATTTGGGGAAAATCTCTCCTGTATAAAGACAGCATAATATTTTCAGGGTTTCCTCTTGCAAGTCCTTGAGTAATCTGTGACAGATGAGCTGTTTTACAAGTCAAGAATATAAATCATTTAAAAAAACTCATTAAACAGAATGCCTTTTTCTGTAAAGCCAAAGGATATTTTGATATGAACAATGATTATAGACTGAGGCAGTCTGGAGTTGTCCCAGATAGTTTTTCCTTTTTTGTGTGTATGTGTGTATTGGAAGCTGTGTTCAGCCATGTACATTAGCATATTTTTGGCATCTCCATCTACTAAATCCAGCCCCACATAAGAGTAGTAAAAAATGGTTTCAATCTACTTTTACCTGATTGTTCCACTTCAGTATAAAATTAGTATTTTTTTTTTTAACCTGGTTTGGTTCCTTTGGAAATAGTCCTGCTGCCTAGTCTGTGTTAACTCTTTGTTCTCTAGTAAGTTTTGAACATGGTGGATCAGTTTCAGGCACATTCCTTTATAGACCAGAAGTCTTAAAAAATGTGAAGTTCTTAAATATTTCCTGAAAACCAGTGACTTGGTAAAGAAGACAGACTCAAATTGCTGCCCCTACAAAAGGAAATGTTGGTAAAATGCTGCCCTTACCTGTTTGGATAAGCGTGCCTAGCACTAAGCAGGTATTTTAGTTCCAATAGTGATGATTTATCTTGCCTAGATAGAAAGCCAAACAAAACCAGATAAAGCATATGGTGGTGTGAGTTGGGTTTTTGGAGCAATTGTAGGGGGCATTACAGGGAGCTATGGTGTTGCTTTAGTGGGTAAGTCCAGAAGAGTCATGAACAGAGGATGCTGGGAATGCAGATGTTGATGTGAGAAAGGACTGGGTGGAAGGTCTGAGCATGTAGAGGAACCCTGGAAGCACAGCATGAAGCACTGGAAGATGAGTTTAGGGTATTAGAGAGACTGGGAAAAGGGGAACGCGAGGGTGGCTGTTTAGGACACGGAGGGAAGGGAGTGGGGGGTTACAGAAAGACAGGCTGCAGTACTTGTTCCCTTGAGTAACCTTATAAAATACCCAGCTTTGAAAATAAAAGTAGGATTCTGAAATTTAAAATCTTTTCAGGAAAAAAAAAAGAGACTGGATTTAAAACAGATGCTCTGAAAGCAGTCTGGTTTGTTGGCCTTAACAGAATTACTTGTGTTTACACTTCAGCTTGCAGTTGAATGTTTTACTGAAACAGATGAGAAGACACAGCAGCCCCCAGTACTATGTACTAAGAAATACTCCAACCTATTCTGTAGTAGCACAGGCAACTCAAAGGACTGTATTGCCTTGGTAAAAAGAAGCAAAGCATACCTTCTGGTGCTCTGGGGTCCAAAGAAAGTCCACAGAGCTGTTTCACATTGAACTCATTCAGCCAGATTTCATAGCTCAGACATTGTATTGAGGGCTGTGATGGTACATTCTGAATTCTTCTTTTGATAGGTAACCTTAATCCATGAGGGATTAACTGGGAGAGAAAAATCTACCCTGTAATTTATCCTATGAAACAGGATGTTGCTCCAGACACCCCAGTAAATGAGAAGTGCAAGTTGTGAAGTGTATCCTTGTCCCTGCTGGCTGAACGCCTGGTGTTAATGACAATAGTCAATGGCTTGTTCCAAGGAACACCACTGCCAAATGAGAAACGAGTAGTGTGTCCAGCCCTGGAGAAACCAACAGCTGATCCTTCTGGTCTTTGAAGGTGTTTTATCTCCAACCTCTCAGCTTCCCAATCTAAAAAAACTGAGGAAATAGCAGACAGTAGCACCTCTTGTTCCTTTTTTTTTTTCCTCTTCCCCTTCCCCTCTTCCCCTCCTCTCCTCCCAAAACCTAATGAAAGGTGAGATGTGGTGTTTTGGTTCCCTTAAAGAACATGAGAGACTGTGAGGATAACTTGGCTATTGGTGTGTGTTTGACATGGAAAACACTCGGAGTCTAGGAAGGTGACAGGCACTGTGGCTACATCTGCATTAACATAGTGGGGGGAACCAGCAGGAATGGGTCTGGAGAAGCAAACAGCTGCTGAATCCATTTTGGGGGCCTGGCTTTAGAGCAGTCTCAGTCCAGCAGACTGAATGCCCTTGAGTAAGTGTAGTGCATCTTTCAGTTTAACTTCAAGACAAAATGGAGTTTGTGTGTCTGAAGATCACCACAGGGTATGGTGGTGACAAAGTGGGGACAATTGGAAGAGTCATTCCAAAAGCACCCTGCTCACCTGAAATAAAACATCAATACATCCTGTATTCAATGTTTGTCACCAATCTGTAGGGGTGGGACATCCTAATGGCTTAGATTTGTGTGTGCATTTGCACAGGTGTTCCGTACCTGCACTCCTGTTTAGAGAGGAAATGTTCCTGGCCTTGTGGAGATGACCTTTGCGATGTCAACTGATATACGACTGTTTTGAATTAGCAGCTGGACTGGAAGAAGAGAACCAAAGAAACCATGAGCTTTTCCCAGTCTGCTCAGTAGGGGATTAGTGTTGAATCCTATTATTACCACTTGCACAACAATACTGTTAACTATTGCATTGCTGCTGGTCACTGTAGTGTTCGTCTCAAAGCCAGCCCAATCCTTCTTATCATTGTTTCAGTTGGTGAAATTCAAGCTGAAAGGTTTGAATGTGGCAATACTTTAATATCGCAGTGAGTCATGAGAACAATGAGGAATTATTTGTGTCCTTGGGGTGTCAGGCAGTGTGTTGTGGATTTTCTGTAAAACTCTGTGCGGAAGCATTAGAATTATTATTTCTTATTTGTCTTGTGGGAGCTGCTGGGCATCCCAGGAAGGGGCTATACAAAAGCAGAACAGAAGGCACTTCTCACCGTAGAGGAGTTTAATCATTGCTGTTGTAGTCATCTAGGAAATATCTGCAAATAATTTTATATGAGTGTTGGTTTTGAGACTCATAAATCTTATTCTGCTGTCACCACCACTGCCATCACTAAAATTTTGATGATATCCAATAAACTGCAGGCTTCAGACAAAGATATTCCGAGTCTGGGGTGATACAGAAGTTATAAAGCAATTGCAAAAGAAAAAGAGCAAAACCTCTCTCCTATATTTTGATACCATAGGGTGTTTTGAGATGCTATTCAAAAGTTAAAGGAGCCTGAAAGAAGAGTCAAGGGAGTCTTCCCTCCAGGGAAGTTCTGGCTGCTTGCTCCTCATGTGATCATGTGAAGGAGCCACAGCTTTTTTTATCACAGGGTACTTGTTTTTCTCCTCTTCAGTCCATGTGCCTATTCCTAAGGGTGGCCAACTGGGAAATGGTCTTTGCAGCAGCAGGTAAAAGCTGGATTTAGAATTGGTTATTAGAGTCAACTTTTGCTCATGGTCTCAAGAAATGGTCTAGGCAGCTGGTTGATCTCTTGTAAAAAAGTGTAAAAAAAAAAAAAATTAAAAAAATTTAAAATGGTGGTCATTTGTCTCATGGCAAAAAAATAGTATTGAGTATATCCACCCTGTAGCTGCATGAAAACATCCATACGCACCTACATGATTTTGATGAAAAGCTATAGAAAAACTCCGTATTTGCAGGGAGAATAGTAAGTGTTGACTCTGTTAAAATATAGATGTTATTACTTCAATGCATTTTAAGATTAGCCATGGTAAGGTGATATTAAAAAAAAAGGTAATTGGAAAGAACAAGCCTTTCAGGGCATTTAAGACATTTTGTGCCTTCAGGAGTAGGAATTACATTTTATTCCTGCTAAGCTTGAACTGTAGAGGTGTTCTGACTTCTCCTTGTATATACTATATATCATCTCTGAGCTATGCAGGGGAACTTCTAAGTTCTGTAACAACTCACCTGAGAGCGTATTTGCCTCCCTCAGGAGAACTCTAGTATTGTGAACATAAGCAATCTTTCAGAAATGTATCCACAATCAAACATGTAAACACTCAAAAAGAGTTCTCTGAGAAATTCAAAGATAACACAGCTCTGTTGCTGTTTAAAAAAATCTCTGGGATTTGAGCTTTCTTTACAGAAAGGGTATGTGTAAATAAAATGCCCATTGGAGAAAAAAGTGAAACCAAAACAAAGTTTTGAATAATGAAGATAGTGTGTTTGCATTTGTATTTTTCTAAAGAACTCTCATTTAGTGGCTACTGTGAGACAGATGAAATATCTGTGGTGATTTACCTTAAAGTTTTCTCTTTCTCTGTTATCTGATTTACTATTTGCTACAGTATGAAGCCTCTTAGATAAATTAATGTGGACTGCTGGCAGCTGCCTGTAGATAAAGAGCTATCTTATAATTACTGCAGTAGCATTTTAGCTGCTATTAGATTTCACTTCTGTCATCATCTCCATATCTGATGTAGAGTAGCTAATGAGAAATGTTTAAACCAGACTTTGAAAGAATGGTTTGCTCCCGTGTCTGTGTGTGCTGATGTTGGGAATTTATCAGACCTAATGTTATACTCTCCCACATGCAGTAGGCTTTTTTCTCTCACAGTATTTCCTTATGGGAAAGCAAAACATTATTAATAGCTATTTATTAGAAGTTCCTTCATACACACATCTTGTAGGGTCCAATTTTCTGTCCATATTTGGCTTTTGACAGACAAGTTCCTTTCAAATTTTTATAAGTAGGAATGTCTTAATCTAATTAGTGACTGAAGTTTAGCTTGAAAACAGCATTTTCCTCCTCCATTTCAGTCCCTGTTGTTATTTCTTTTCCAAAGAGGCAATTCATCAT